GCTTGGGTTCAGGGCGGGTCCCGGACACAATCCACGCTGGTCTCATTCCGCAGGGTTGGCCAAATTTAGACGACCTTTTACATTTCTACTTTTCTGCCTGAATTAGGGAGTTGAGTACCTCTCGTATGGTACCGCGTACCGCCCCTTTCCCCCCCCCCCACGTGATGTTCGTGAACTGGGGAAGGGGTTTGACTGTCAACTTGAAAACTTTCTCGGCTCCATTGTGACCCTTTTGAACTGTTTGCCCACGCAAAGAATATGAAATAAATGAATCTGGGCGAACTTCGCACACGTAATCGCTTCCTTTCGGACGCCGCCGAACAGAAATTGCGTCCCTCCCTTCCCCTATGCGGTCCGTGTCGCCTGCGTGGCCAGCCGCGTCAAGGATAGTCTCGTCGCTTCGTCTCCGTCGCACTCAGGGGGGGTTTTCCGTGGCGGTGCGAGAGAGACAGAGCGACGGAACGGGCCATCAGGGGGGGGTGCGACTGGACGGCAACGCCACGGCAACGCAACGCCATCGCAGTCTCGCATTTCACTCACGACTCACGTGCACGGGGGACAGGGCGAGAGGCCCTCCAGCCACACCAGCTTACATCAATACACAGCGAGGGGGGGCTCACTGGGGTCTCAAACGTACAAAGATTTGACGGCCATTGATTGTCGGAATTTTTTTTCATTTTTTTTAACTTTTTTGATTTTTTAGCAGATGACACCGTTGCTAAAGAAAAAGCAAGCTATACAATTGCAATGAAGGTGTCAGCTTGCTTTTACTTCGAGATAGTTTTAAGGGGGCGGGACCATGCGTGCGTGAAGCCTGTGAAGCCGGCCGGGGCCGGGAAAAGGGCATGGGGCCTGGGGCCCCCCCCCCCCCCCCCCCCCCCCCCCTCTACCTCCCCGCCGCCAGCGCGGGGCGCAGTGGCGCGGCGTGCTGCGTGCCTGGGCAAGGCTGGGCCCGGCTCGGCTCGGCTCTAAAGCAGGGGCCTAGCGGGGCCCTGCTCAGCTCGTACCGCCTTGGGATAGGTCGGCTTCGCTCGGCTGATACCGATGCAGGGTGCAGCGTGGGCCGCCGGGACCCCCATGCCGCTGGAGGCGAGGGGAGCGGGGGGACCGGGGACCCACGCAAACAAATGCTACAGTGTCACCGGCCGGCTTGAAGGAGCGCGTTGCACGTGTGAAGTGTAAAAGCTAAGATATGTGGGGAAAAAGCAGGCGAAGCGGCAATTATTTGGGCCCAACTATGGCCCCAGGGAAACACAACGAAGCGTAAACGTGAAAGGGCCCGGCAGCTGTATCGGGAGAAAGGAGTCGAAAGTTGTCAATTTTCGTGAATGAAGTGATAAACAAGCATACATTAAAATAAACATTTTCATTAGAATGTCATCTGCTTCCACGTTAGCGTTAGCGTTAGCGTTTTTTATTTTCAATGATTTATCCCGAAAAATTTATTTTAAAGGATTTTTGCCTATTTTTTTGATTCTTTTTGATTTTTTGATTTTAATTTTGATTTTTTGATTTTAATTTTGATTTTTTGATTTTTTTTTTATTTTTTTTTTGAATTTTTGTCCTGCAGAGGCCCAAATTACCGGCAGTCGTACCAACATACGGCAGTTGTTGGCGCGAAATTTCAAACCATTTGAAATCTATGATGCTAGGTGTCGCGCTAAGCTAGTTATTCTGTAACCGAACTCGCTTATGTTTTGAAGTCTTGTGTATCGGTTGCTCATTCCTTTTCATTTCCTCTGATTATTTTTGATTTTTTTGTGATTATTTTTGATTTTTTTTGATTTTTTGATTTTTTTAAATCATTTTTTGATTTTTTTTACAAAGTTTCGATTGATTTTGATTTTCTTCTATAATTTTGATTTTTTTGGATTTTTTGATTTTTCATGATTTTTTTTGATTAGAATTTTGATTTTTTTTGGCGTGTACAATGATTTTCGTCAGTGAGCCCCCCCTCGATACACAGCAACATCACTACACCAGCCACACCAGCTACATCACTGCACCAGCTACATCACTACACCTGCTACATCACTGCACCAGCTACATCACTACACCTGCTACATCACTGCACCAGCTACATCACTACACCTGCTACATCACTGCACCAGCTACATCACTATACTAGGATTCAGGATGGAAGAAGCCGCTGGCCGAATTTTCTGCTGGCTACGCCTCCCCAGCTACCGCAACAACATTTCTGACCTGGCCCGTCCGGGCCCCATTGACACGGAGTCCCGAGCGTGTCCCGAGCCCCGCCCCATTGTGCGGGTGGAGAGCGACCCTCGCAGTCCGAACAAAAGGCCCTCGAATAATAATGAGCTTTTAAATGTGGCACCAAATCGAAACTTGAAATTTTATAAATTTTTAGAAATTGATGAGTGTTTTGAAACGAGCACAAAAATTTAGGAATTTCTGTGAAAACGGCGTGTTGCTGCGACAATTTTGACGCTTTTAGGAGATATCCATATTGCTGTTTTGGGGAAGGTTTGGAATGGAGGCGCCCGCTTACTTGCCGGTCAAACCTAAAATTCTTCTGACCGTTAAGTAAATGAATGCGTCACCGAGGCATTGAACTTTGCCTATCTTCCAGGAAGCACGGACAAACTCGCGCGCTCCCGAAATCGTTCTCGCCCCGGGCCTGAACACGGCCGCGACGCGACGCACGTAACGGCACACCGCGGCACACATTGTCTCGCTGGGACTTTGATGCCGCCTCGCCGCGCCGCCCGCGCCGCCGGCGTATGCGTTGTGAGTGACAGTTTTGCAACAATTGGCCGAATTGGCCACGCTCACGGCAATAGAGCAGCCTCCGTTCATTTGGCTCCACATGCTGCAGCGCACTGACCCCGCGCGCCGTTTTGCGTGCCGTAGGAGCGGGAGGACGGCGAATGCAAAGGCCAATTTTACAATAGGAGGGCCGTAAAATATTCTGCAGTCGGCAAAACAACGCGCTTTTCGTAGGCAACATGTGTCCAAGCAGACGAACTCCAGAGGACGCGACAGCGCGGTGCAGCTCAGTCTTTCGCGATTTCTCGGAAGGAACACATCGATCTCGTGGTGCAGTGCGTGGGTGGAGAGCTGGCTTGGAGTCCGCGATTCGCGACTTTTCAGCCAGTTTCGCGGCAATTTCGCGGTCATCAAGTGTCTGTGTGTCGCGAGCTGAAGGAATCTGTGAGTGCCCCTACGATGCCACCAAGGCGGTTGCCGATGGGGGACGACAAGAAGAGGGAAGTCCTCGGTCATCAGGCGAGGATGATCGTCTTCATGGTGCTACAGTATTTTGAAGACCACAAGACTGTAAATGGGGGAATGCTGCACATTGGTTCGGCCCAACGCATGGCTGCAGAAGCCTGCAACGTCGGCCGCAGCACCGTGCAGCGAATCGCCGCGCAGGCGCAACGGCAGCAAGAGGCAGAAGTGGCCAACGGCGCCAACGGCGCTAACGGCGCCAATGGAGATGCCCTGCGCCTGGACACCCCGCAGAAAGGCCGAAGAGCGAGGGAGAACGCGGCTCCCTGCAACTTGGACGAGTTCGACCACGAGGTTATCCGGCGCCACGTGTACGGTATGATTGAAAGGAAAGTGAGGCCTACTTTGCACAAAATATTGGCGTCAGTGCAAGCCGCCGGTATTTTGATTGGTCATTCCATCTCCTCTCTCAGAAGAACTCTCCTGCGCATTGGATTTCGTTACAAGACGTACAACGGCAGAAGAATTCTCATGGAGAGGCCCAGCATCGCTCTGTGG